TTTGTGTGCAGAGATGCACACACTTTGCACATGTGTGTATGTGTGTGTACACAAGGCATATGCATATATTTCATCTATTTTTGCCTGCTAGCATTCTGCAGTGCTGGTTCACACAAATGGTGTCATCCTCCTACAGATTATACTTCTCGACGAGGCCACCGCCTCCATCGATTCTGAAACGGACGTACAGATTCAGCGGACCATCCAAGAAGCTTTTAAGGACTGTACGGTCCTGACTATTGCTCATCGGATAAATACCATCCACAACTGCGACCGTGTCTTGGTGATGGAGAAGGGAAAGGTATGGAACCAGAGGCATCTCTGCAGCTCACGTGATCTTCATCGCTACTATCGTGGCGATGAACATCTTGTCTGCTTCAGGTGTTCCAAGTTGACTCAAAGCTATGATCAAGAAAAAGCCTGGCCTTTTCACACTACACAATAACCCCTTTTCAGAGTAGGAGGGGCCAACCACAAAATGCCTGAAAAACCACAGAGGGGGGAACACAAGCACAATTGAGATATTTGCAGGTTTCCTCTTCCACGTTCACTGGTAGGCTAAGACCATGTTTTGCATTAGAAAATTCAGATCGGACTTAGTGTTAATTACAATTTGTTTAAAAAAAATCCATCTGAAGAAAAAGCTAAAGCAAACTGCAGATGTCCCTTATTCTGTAATTGGTGTTAGAAATTATACTGTGGAAGTATGTGACGCATGGCAGAGCGAAACCACACACATACACACAAAATGAACAGAACAGGAGAATTCCAGTCCTGCTGACTTTCATTGCTGCTTTTTTTGTTCCACAGCTATTTCTCCTTCCCCATGGCAATTTTAACATGATAGGAAACTCATAAAAATTCACTGTATTCTTGCTTCGTACTTGACATTTACTAATGCAGCTGACATTTGTTATATCTCGTTCCCGATGACTTTCAGGTAGCTGAGTTTGGCAAACCGGATGAACTAGTTCGGAATCCCAAGTCTGCTTTCGCTTCGCTCTTGGCCGCCACCAGCAAAGCCTCGTCGTTGTAGCACAAAGAAATGTTTACGGGTGTCTCCCTGTGGACTCTGGAAGAGGAAAGTTCTTCTCGCGCAAGACGAGGAGGGAGCAAAACCCTTGTTAATAGGGAAATCATCTGGTCCTATCAACAAGAGATGTGCCACCAGCTTTAACAAAGGTCACATCAACGGGGAGGCTCAGAAGCGTGGGAGAACACTGATGTTGACAATTAAAACAGAGAACTAAATGAAGGAAGCAGGAAGGACGGTTCCAATATATGTGAGTGGGGACTGCTGGTTTCAAATCTTGCTCCAAATTAGAAAAATGAAGACTGCCACTACTTGTGTAAGGGACTCTTGTTAACACGATGCACACTTGACAGAGCACAGCCACTTCTTCCGGGGACCGTTTTACACTCAAGGTGAGGCCCTTGTTACCTCCTCCAACAGAGACCACAGGCGCATGATGTGAGCCCAGCGTTCTGACGCCTGGATGATTCTCAATTGACCAAACAGAAATGAGTGAGAGCCAATGAAGCCAGTTGGCTGTTGACTCCCACCG